TGGCTATGTCAAATATCTGATCCTACTCAAACCGGAAAAAAAAAGCAAATCCATTGCCACAGAGTCAATTCAGACTCAACGCAACTCTACAGGACAGAATAGAACTGCCTCATCAGGTTTCCTAGGCTGTAATTTTTATGGAAACAGCCACAGCTTTCTTCCACGGAGCAGTGATGCTGACCTTTTTGTTGTAGCTGATTGTTTAATCACTTTGCTACCATAGTGCTCCTTCTGATCCTATTATGAAACTTAAAGGGGGTCAAAGTTAGAAATATTTACAGTTAATTTTTGGCCCTTTTGGTGGTATAGTCTCAAGTAAGTGTCCATTGAGAACTATAAAACCAGAAAAACAATAAAAATAAAAAAAGCCAATCTTAAAATACTCTTAAGACAGCATTAAATGCACTTATTTTCATGGACTCAGTGTGAGGCACCGGGAATGCAAAAACAAAACTTTGGCTTTTATTAACAGAGTGTTGTGGAGAACACATATAAACAATTTATTGTAGTTAGATGGTTTAAGTGTTGTACTAGAATAGAGTGCTCTGGAAACATAGATGGGGTCGCAAGTAATTCTGTCCATGGTTTGGATAGGGTAGGGAGGAGATCGAGAGGTTTTCACAATGGAGGTAACTTTTGGGTAGGACCCTTAAGCCTGAATAGGAATTTGTTAGGTAGAGAAAGATAAAAGTATTTAGAATGTGCATAGATGGGAAGAAGAAAAAACAAAAACAATAACAAGGAGACAGGGAGCAGTCTGACATAGTCAGCGGGTGGAAAATGGGGGAAAAAACCCAGAAAGAAATGTAGCCTAAAAAGTTTAGATAGAACCTTGTTGTGAAGGTATGCTAGGGGGACTAGATGTTAGGCATCCTGAGGTGAATTTGACTTAACTCTGGAGCTTACGCTATATCTGTGGTATAGGGTTAATCTCATGAACTCTTTCACTCTTTCATCATTCATATCTGAATTTTAATAAGACACCATGCAAAAAGGAATCAGACAGATGCCGTCCTTAAAAATCAGTTTCCTTTTAATAAGAGAGGTAAATAGTTTTATAGAAAGGATAGGTAAGGTGATAAAGACAAACACGGCATTTGAAATAGGCTTGGAAGGGTAAGAAGATTTGAATAAGTCTTATTTATATGTTGAGTATATAAAGAGCAGAACTTAAACTTTGTTTCTGCATTTGTCACTTTTAGTTTCACTTGGTTCATTTCCAAGGTAACATTAAAATATAAAACAAAACCAAAGAAACAACATATACCTACACACACACAAAGTTTAGTTTCAGTAGACATTGTTGGTGCTGTTGTTATTTGCTGAGGCGTTGATCTCTATCATGAAAATCCCATTTATACAGAGTACACATGTTTTGTAACGTTTTCAAGGCTATGACCTTTTGGAAGCAGATTGCCAGACCTGTCTTCTGAGGTGCAACTGCCAACATTTTGGTTGATACTAGTAGAGTGTTTGGAGTCCTGGTGTGGTGCAGTGGGTTATTGCACTGAACTGCAAAGTCGGTTTGAACTGCAAGGTTGGCAGTCAAGCTCATCAGCTGCTCCTCAGAAACCTTATATAGGGTCACGATGAGTGGGAGCTGACTAGACAGTACTTAATAACAAGTAGAGTGTAGTGTTTGGACTCCTAGTATGGCGCTGTAGGATTATCACTGGAGAGTAAACTACAAGGTCAGCAGTGCAAACCCACCAACTGCTCCTTGGAAACCCTACACAGGGTCGCTTTGAGTGGGAACTGACTTGACAGCACTTAACAACAACAATAACAGTAGGGTGTTTAGGACTCCTGGTGTGGCACTGTAGGTTCAGCACTGGACTGTTAACTACAAAGTCAGCAATTCAAACCCACAAACTGCTCCTTGGACACCCTACACAGGGTTGCTACTTGTCAGAACTACCTAAAGGCACTTAGCAACAATTTCAGTTTTTCACTGTTGGTGCCAACAAGGAGCTTCTGCATTAATTGAAATTGAAGTAGTAATTAGAATAATGTTTGGATAAATAAATAGAAAAGATACTTTTTCTTGCCTTTGCTGCTATAGGTGTCCCTAGGATAGAGAAAACACCCTATGTATTTTTGTGTCAACCTAGAAGACTCAATGGGGCCACTTGTCTGTCACTATGCATCAGAATCATCTTGGTGGCACACAACAGCAGTTTTTTTGACATCGTTCTCAAACATATGTTGAATTCAACTTACTCTTGCTAGTTTTTATTTGAATTCCAGTCCTTAAACAATGTATAGTTCTTAAATAACCGTGTGATGGAGATCTAAAAAAACAGTCAGGGAATATTGTGTGTTCATTGGCAAATTAGCAAAATAAAGAATAAAAAATCAAGTAAAATAACAAAGTATGGCATTTGCTTTACAGGTGAAAATCTTGCACCTAATATCAAGTTTTGTGGCGTTGTGGGTTAATGCATCAGACTACAAAGCTGTTTGAACTGCAAGGTTGGCAGTTCAAGCTCACCAGCTGTTCCTCAGAAACTCTTACAGGGTCGTTATTGGTCAGAATTGACTCGACGACACTTTAGAACAACAACAATATCAAGTTGGTGGTGGTTGTGTGTCATGGAGTCGATTCCAACTCATAGTGACCCTGTATAGGGTTTCTGAGGCTGTACATCTTTACAGGAGCAGAAAGCCTCATCTTTCTCCCATGGGAACTACTGGTAGTTTTGAACTGTTGATTTTGAGATTAGCAGGCCAACTCATAACCATTACGCTACCAGAGCTCCTAATATCATGTTAGTGTACCAATTACATCCACCTTACCTAGCCAACAACAACAAATTGAACTATAGTGAAATGTAGAATTGGTGGAAAGTCTTGAGGGAGAAAGCATTGGAACATAAGAATGTAGAACTTTGAGAATGTATCACTAACATTCTGAACTCCTGCCACATTCTTTTGTAGAGTTTATCAAATACTTATCCTGTAAGACTTTCTACAAATTTAAGTGACCAGGTCTCTGGAGAAATTTATAAGCTAAATAGCAAATGCTTCGAATTGCAATCACGACAGATCTAGGAGTATTTATATAAGACTGATGATGGAATTATGTATAATCCCATGTTTGTAAATCAGGATTTCCAGTTATTTTGTTAAGTGCTGTTCAGTCAGTTCCCACTCATAGCGACCCTGTATAGGGTTTCTGAGGAAGGGGTAGTGAGTTTGCAGTTCAAACTGACCTTGCTGTCCTGTACTTACTAGTGTCACAACATAGACCCTGTGCACATTATTGTAGTTTTTTAAAATTTTTATAGCTGGGAACATAAAACATAGCAATAATCACCAAGGGGTTTGGGGCTATAAATTATACATATTTGCCATGTTTATGATTTTGGAATTCACAAAATTGACTGGAAATCACAAAGCAGAGGGGAAAATTTAAATAATATTAAAAAATATTTACTATTAGGTTTTAGTTTTATATTACAGTTAATAGACTAATTTAAACGTAAAACTTTTGTCTTTAAGTTATTTTACCTACACGATTAAAGAAAACCTCACACCACGAATGAAAGCTATTTTTTAAATTTGTGAGTGAAGACCATTATCCGGATATTTTCCACACACTTGTACAACTTTATCCTGATATATTCAGATTATTAAGTGCCTGTGCTTTCTCCGTTTAAAAACACTTCACTAGTGAGTAGAAACTTGGTTTTTACCACTGGGATTATTAAAAACGTTAAAAAAAAGTTTTCTTTTCAGGAGAGAGAGGGATTTGGTGGGGTGCTTAGAGAACTACAAGATTTTACTGGATGAGACACTCAGCAACCTTAGAGAAGTGGCTTGTGAGGGAACCAAAGACTTTTCAGGAATTTCAAAAAGCGATTTTCAGTCACAAAATAATGTTGTTTTTTTTAAAGATAGAGTCTTTGACTTTCCCCCTTATTTTCACGCTGTACATAGGGAAGAAAATATCTAGACCAGTTCAAGTCTGGCCAATAGCTGTTGTGCTGTCGAGTCCCTTGACTCTTAGCGAGCACGTAATAGGATTTCCGAGGCTTTAAGTCTTCGAGGGAACAGAACTCATCTTTCTCCCCTGGAAATAGCTAGAAGGTGATAAAAATAGACAAACGACGCCAGGCCCTGCGCTGCTTTGGAGGCGTGGGGTAAAGCCTGGGGTGGGGTTGAGTTGGGGTAGGGGTGGAAGGGGGGAGGCAGTAGCTGAAGCGGGTTCTGTGAGACTGAGGACTAATTCGGGCCTGGAAGGGGCGTGTTAGGGGCGTGACGAGGTGTGTTTTGAAGGCGGAGCGAACTCGCCACTTGCCTATTAATAGCCAGGAGCCTGGCCAGGACTTCAGAACTTTTTTTTTGGTTCACAGTCATGTCTCTCCTGCGCCCCACTGTTCAAATTGCTGAACGCAGGCCACTAGCCACTTGTCTACCGCCTCCTGAGGACCCTGATTCCCAACCGCCCAAAAGCAAGAGGCTCTGTCTTGAAGAGCCTGGCGGTGTCCCTGAGGAGAGATGGAGGCTGCCTTTGGTGTCTCGCTTGTCTGAGGTAGAAAAAATTGGGGAGTTGCTGCCTAGATCCTTCGAGGCACTCTTTATTTCAACTAATGTGAATTGTGATTACTCCATAGACACCTGTGTGGCACAGTCAGCTAGTGGGAGGCAGATATGTCATCTGGGATGGCAAAAGAGCAAATTTCAGATGAATAGCTGTTTGCGTTCTCTCTCCTCACAAAAGTTTGCCTATGATTTGAGGGCTTCCGGAAGACCTTTTGAACAAGAACTGAATGAAAAAGAGGTTTTCAGCTTGCACAGCAACGACAGATTTCAAGCAGAGGTTGGTCAATCTCTGCCCAGCACTTCCATACATGATATATATGGTGTTAAAAACGAGAATGGAAAACAATATTTAGCTCAAGGGAGGAGCAATAGCTGGAGAGACAATACATATATAAAACAGGCAGAAAATCCATTTTTAGAGGCTACCTTTTACAAGGAAGCTAAAGCAACACCTCAAGAAATTAAGAACAGATGTAAAGCTAACAGTGTTATGTCATCAAATAAAAAAGAAAATATTTTAGCATCTATACTAAAAATACCAAAATCTCCAAGCCAGCACGGCTTGGAAATTGCCAAACCTTGCTATTTTAGAGATAACAGCACAAGTATCCCTGAATTTCCCACCGATTTAAATAGCAAAATGTCCTCTGTCTATTTAAAGGAAATAGCAAAGGAAAAAAATGGCAAAAATGAGACATATGTTAGGCATTTCACAAATGTTTACTCTTCTCAATACAGACCTGATGCTAAGAGACAAAAGTTACAGAATGATAATAAAATTGTGGATGCAGAAAATACTTTGTCTGAGTACTATGAAAGTAACCACCAATCACTCAGCCACCAAAATACTTGCAAGGAAAAAAAAGACGTGCTCAGTTTAAACTACTATAATCCCAGTAGTATCAAATGTGATGTAAAAGTCTCTGAAAAGAATATTACTATAATACTAGAAAATTCAAAAGAAGAAGTAACAAAAATATGCCCAGACAGTTACAAACCAATTAGGTTAGAAAAATATCAGAGCGGGTACTGTATCACTAGATGTATTTGGAAGAGAAGCAGGAAAAATAACTGGATTATAAGTAATTGCAAGACCACATATGAAAATATGGAATTAAATGGAAGAAGACTAAATTTGCAGCAACTATTGGAAATAGACTTTTTAAACAAGGAAGATTATCACAATACAAGAGTAATGAATGCATATGGAGAACAATCCAAACCTCCTATGATAGGAACACTGGGTAGACAAAAAGTTTTAATCAAAAATGTTTGCTTAAGTGGCAAAGAAGAAAATGATAATATGCTACAGTTAAGATATTATGCTACACAAAAAGGGTCATATTTAAGCAATGTTTTTCAAAGTTTCAGTACAGGAATTTTTTGTTTCCATGAAACTATTTCAGAAAGTAAAAAATATAATAGTAATTTAATCTGGTCTGAAAAATTAAAGCACAAAAAGAAAATTGAGATTCAGAATCTAATAATCACAAAGAATGATGTTTTAAGCATATATTTACAGATCGGTGTTTCAGAAACTCTAAATATTATATTGAAAACCAACAATAGCCTTGAATGTTTAATAAAATGTGAAAGTGAGTTTAAATTAGGAGAGAAGCACATTTTCAAGTGGATAGTTTATTTGAATTATCCAAAAATGATCATGGTGGAAAATCATTCTGCATCTCAAATAAGGATTTTAACTTTTTCTCCCTTGGTAGAAGATAATATGAGACCTGTGTTAAAGAAAAGGAAACTGTTTCAAACTGAAGAAGTTTCTAAAGCATCTAAGAAAGAAACCAGAAATTCCTTCTATATGGCTGCTGAAATGACATGTCTCCCAGTTTTTCAGAGAGATGAAAAAATCCCTCTTTTAGTGGACTTTGATGGCATGAATGACATTTTTTGGACAAAAGAAATTAGTTACAAGGATGATTGCCCTAAAGGAGTCATGAATGTGGAAAATTGGGCCCACTTTAGTCCAATTATGGTTAAAACAGATTCTAAGTCTGGTCATCTGTTTATTCAGGACTACAAAAGATATATTAATGAAAATTTTTATGAAATAAGTATGCACAACCAAGATTCAGATACTGAAAGAGAACAGGATCATAGTAAGATCACTGGGTTTAGTTCTGAGTGCATATCTGAGGATTTCTTTAATATCAAACAACAAACCATCCTGGCAAGCCACTTAACAATATGCAGTCAAACTAATGCCAAGATTATAACTCAGCTACCAAATTTTGAGAACTTGTTATGTGAAATTAAAGAAACAAATTATGACTTAATTTTAGAGGAAATAAAAACCATAGCACAAAATTTGACAAATAATTGCCAAGTTCATGAAGATTTTGAGATAGAAAAGGAAAAGAAAGATGATTTTTTTTCAACAGATGCTATGCTGTCTGTACAGTCAGTTTCATTAATGAGCAAAGTAAATGTGGAAGATACTATACAACCAAACCAAATATATATTAATCAAAATAACACTAACAGAAATGAATTTGAGAGCAATTTGCAAGAAAGTGAGTTAGATAATTCAAAGCATTTTCTTCTGAAGAACGGCTCTACAGAATGTGTTAATCATCAATTTGAAGCTGATTTGAGTGCAGGGAACAATGAATGGTTTCAGGACTTAAATGCTGAGTGTTTATCAACAGAAGCTCTGACAATAGGAAAAGATTTTGAAATGAGAAGTAAATTTGATTTAGTACTTGAAGAGCTTCGTATGTTTCATGAAATTAGTAAGGAAAAAGAAATTCTAAGCACTGTAGAAACAAACATTGAACAAGAATATTACTTTGGAGAAAATAATGGTACTAAAGAAATAGAAAAGCAGATAAAAAAAGATGTGAAAGTGGCTACAGTCAACAAAACATGTGCATCTTCTCTGCTCTGTGAGAGTAAAGCAAGTCCTCATGTGCATAGAAGACACCAACGTTTATTTAAGTGGAAAACAGAATCCAGTGATGGAGAGCAAGCAGTTCCTAGTGAAAATTGTCCAGGAACACCAGAGGAAGAATTACTCTATTCTACTTCTGAGGAAGGTACGACATTAGTTTTAAAGTGTTCTTTCTCATAATAGGAAAAACAAATGCTGCTTTTTTTCCCCTCTAGGCTAAATATTTTGTTTATTGATGCATACTATTTTCTCATAAGGACTCCTGGTGTGGCATTGTTGGATTAGCACTGGACTGCATACCACAAGGTCTGCAGTTCAAACCCACCAACTGCTCCTTGGAAACCCTATACAGGGTTGCTATGGGTCACAACTGACTCAACAGCACTTAACACAACAACAATTTTCTCATAAAAGACTGCACATCAAATAAATCGATTTGCATACCAAATGGCAGGCAACACATTTTTACTTGTGTTTTTTTTTTGTTTTTTTTTAATAAAGGAGATCTGAATAATCCTGCTTTATTTCTCTATGAGCAGCCAGTTGAAGGAAATATTTCTGAAAAAATTCGTTTATAATACTGACATTTCTATATGATACTTATTGCTGTCATAGGAGCCATGGTGGTAGAGTGGTTAAGAGCTCCGCAGTTCCCAGGGAGCAAGCTGGGGCAGTCTGTGTCCATTCAGATGTGCAGCCAGGAGTCCCTGGACAGCTGTCCACTCTGCCTTCGGTCAGAATTGCCTTGATGCCAACAGGTTTGCCTTGCTTTGGTATTGCCATAATATATTATTGATACTTCTTTTCAGATTGTGAGAAACTCCTACCTCAAAGGCTTGCTTTGTTTTCTGAAGAATTTAAGGAAGGAAAATGTAATTATTTACTGAAAGAAGGTAAGATTTTAAAGTTATTTAAAAAATATTTTCCAAGATTATTATTACATTATTTTTAGTATGAAGACAATGTAGATACTTAGGATGTTAGGAAATGAACACAAAAGTTGAATAGCTTTATAAACATTCATACTTTTACTGATGCGTTTACGATATTACTGGGAAATGCACTCTGAAATTGTGTTCAAATATTTGCAGTGCTGTATTTCCGTAACTATGTGGTAAGTAAGGTGTCACATGATAAGATGGGTGTCGAATGTATTCAACTCTGAAGGCAAAATAATAGTGGTATTTATCGAAATAGAATTTCCACTGATGAGCTGTCACTTCCGCTTACATATTCAGCATCAGTATTCTCTATGCTTATGGCTATGGGACTTCTTGTACAGACACTATTTTATCAATTAAAGAAATTTGTATCATTTGAGCACATTTAACATAATCTATGAGTATGACACTTAAATCTTTGATTACTATTTAAAAATAAAATTAAACTACTAGCCCCAATTTTTGGCTAAAGGTCTAAAATATCAGATTAAAACTCTCTAGATTATCATTCTAATTTGTAATACTAATCGGTGTGATGTAGTAGTACAATTGAAAATTGGGAACCTAGGAAAAGTCATAGTCTGATAAAAAGTTTCTGATACTTCACAAGACTAGGTCAAGGATTAATAATGATATAGGTCAAACATCTCTACCCAAATATTTTTAGGACAGCATAATTTCTCAAAACATTCTTCCAGATCTTCTTAACATGAGTAAAATCCTGGTCCTTTTATTCAATTGCCTTGAAACTGCACATTTTCATCCTTTCTTAGTATAATGAAATAATCTTAAGTAATTCATGTCCTAAGAAGATTAAAGATTCTTAGGTAGTCTCTTCTTTCCTGAAAATACAGGATAGTTGAGGGAACAATACTCTATGAGACAATACATGGGTGGCAGGAATTAACCTGCAAAAGGTGAGACCACTTCTTCTAGGACAGAAAGAAAAGAAGAAATTGGCTTTAGAAACACAGTTTGATAGAGACAGATTAGGGAGCAAACATTCATATTGTCAACATGATTATATGAAGAAGATTGATTAGGCATGTGCACAAATTGGAAGATAAATGTTAATGTTTATTTGAAATATATAAACCTGTAATTGATTCTGCCTTTATAAGGCCAAGTAGCTCTGGTAGCATAATGGTTATGAATCGTGCTATGAACCGCAAGGTCAGCAGTTCAAAACTACCAGTGGTTCTGCAGGAGAAAGATGAGGCAGTCTGCTCCCGTAAAGATTTACAGCCTGAGAAACCCTGTGTAGGGTCGCTATGAGTCAGAACTGACTTTGTGGTACTTAACAACAACAACATACAAGGTCAAGTGCCTGGTCACTAAATATGAAAAATAATGTGAGTTCAGCTATTTACTGTTATGTTAGCATAGTAGGTTTGGATTCACTTTCAAATTGTTTAAAAATGAAATGATCTTCCTGAGTTTGTTAAGATCCATAATGTAAGAGAAAACTTGCGACTTAGTGGTTAAGTAGGGTTAATAAGAAGAGAGGAATTCTCAGCGTAGCCAGAGTATCATTTAAAAGGTTTCAAAAAGATTCTAAGTGTCTTGAAATGCTTTTGTGCCTATTCACTTGCAATCACAGTATTTCATCTCTTAATTTAGATTTCCATACCATGAAAATCTCCAGTGCATTCTCATTCTTTCTCTAGTTCTAACTCTAGCTTTCTATGTGTCTGTTTTTCTTCCTATCTCCTTCTGTCTTTTCTGTGGTGTAGAAAAGTCAAGTATTTTTAAATTATTCTGAGCATATATTAGATGTCTGTCAGTCAGTGTGTCAGGTCTTTATATATCATTTAGACCAGTGTGTCCCTAACTTTAAGGTGTTTACGAATCACCTGAGTAATTTAGTCAAATGATTCTGATTCAGCTGTGAGATGAGTCCTGAAATTCTGCATTTCTCATAAGCTGCCAGGAGATGCATACGCTTTTGGTTGATTACAGTGATTTTAGTTTTATGTGTTATTATGTTTGATGTGCTATTAGTAAGTGCTTTTGAGTCAGTTCCGACTCATAGCAACCCTGCATAGCTTGGGCAGGAAATGTCTAGTCCTTGCTGCATACAGCCTGAGAAATCTTTTGGTCTGGCCCTGCCAAGGCAACCACAATTCCAGTCATCACATGGTTGCTATTAAGTGACATAAGTTGGTTCCAACCCATAGTGACCTTGAATACAGTTTCTGAGGAGCAGCTGGTGAGTTTGAACTGCCAACCTTGCAATTCAAACCAATCTTACAGTCCAGTGCATTAACCCACAGTGCCACACCAGGAGTCATTTAAATGCTTAACCAAATAAATATAGCAGACTGATTTTTAACTTAGTATAACCAGCAAATGATATTATACATTTTGGCAGAGAAAAGGTTTTCTAACTCTGTTGTATAGGATTACTGTGGAACAGCTGGTGAGTTTGAACCATCCACCTTGGGATTCAAACTGACCTTGTGGTCCAGTTCTTATTCCACAATGCCACACCAGTACTCCATTAAGTACTATGATTAAGTCATACTACCTCATCTGACCTACTTTTTCAGCTTTACATAAATGCCCACAGTTAAAAAATCTCTGGATGTTAGATGCATTTTATTATCAAGGACAGTCAATCCTAGTCATCTGTTTAACTGATTTAAGAACAGGTATATCTTCATTAAATGCTTTGCACCTCTTTGAAAATAATGAGTGCAATGTTGAATAAAAACTTCAAAACCAGAGCCCTTTATTGGTATGTAACAAAATAAATTGATTTGAACTTTATTACTGATAATAATTTTTATTAGAAGCCAAATACAATAATTAATAATATAACATAATTGCTTAGCTTCTAGTAGAAAAATGACATGATTTTAAAAGGCTTGCTTTCAAATCCATATAGTTTCCCCCCCCTCTTCATTTTTTATTAAGGCAGAGGGTAAACTATTAATTTAATAGCACATCAAACTATAAACACTGTAATCAACCAAAAGCTAAATCGGAGACAAGGTAAGCAGCATAATTTCTACTCAGTTGAATCAAAAAGAATACTGACTTTATTTAGTTGTTATTTTACAATTGGTGAATTAGTTAACTTTTCTGTGCTAAGGTTTTCACATTTTCAATATGGGAACAGGATTAAGTAAAATAATACATTTGAAGCATTTTGCACAGTGTATGGCACAGAGTATATAGTCAGTAAATGTTGCTAATATCATGATTAGAAGTTGGTTAATATTTTAAGCATAGAAATTGCTGGTAATTTTTATTCTTATGTAACTTTATCATTTTGTATTTTTAGGTAGCCATTTTGCAAATGGAATTTTAAGAGTACATCCACTTAAGACATGCAGTCGACCAATCAGAATTGGTTTGTCAAGAAAAGCTAAGCTGAAACAACTTCATCCCTATCTGAAATAAATATGTTACAAGAAGTTAAAAGAAGATATTGGAATTCAATATTTCAGAATATTCTCGAACATCTAGAAATGTTTTGTTGCTTTCTTTGAACATTTTTTTTTTTCTAGTTTGGGCGTTTTGGACTTCGTAATAAAGTAAGGAAAATTTTTTTGTGTGAATTAGTCAATTGCCTTTAAATACTTTATAATGTTTTGTTGATGTTTTCATATCATAGTGACAATATGCATATTGAAGGACTTCATTCTCATTATATATGTAGCAACTAACAAACTTTTTATTGTGAATAGAGTGAAGGGTTACACTCACTGAGCAGATCATCTGTTTTACATTCAGCAAATCAATACTTTGTTACTGTGATTGCAATGCCTTTCATGTTTTATCACTTAACTGCATTTACCTCTGTTTTCTTTAACTCTTTCCTCCTGTTTCTTCTGTGACCTTAATCTTTTTCTGGAAACCTTCCTCTTGCTGTATATTATCTGCTTTATCACCTATGTTTCAACTAATTATTTTTCATAATGTACAAATATGATTTTTCTGTGGAGAAAATTGATATCCTTTCTGAATTTCTCAATAATATTTATGAGTTTCTAAAAAATAAAAATAATGAATCACTATGTAATACATTTTCCTCATTAACGTAAAACAAAAGAAGTACCTATGGGATGTGTTAAGTTTTTTAAGATCACACAGTGAAGATCGGGATAAAGACTCTCTTCTTTAGCCTTTGTTCCCATTTTTCTCTGCACTTTTTTCTTATCTATATTTTCTCCTTCAGAACTTATTTATCTTTGGCCTCAGGACAGATTTGTGTTCATGTAGCTAATATCTATTATTTACTTATTTATGGAACAACAATATTTTAATATGCCTATTACATGTATGCTAAGGAGCTCTGGTAGCGTAGAGTTGGGCTGCCAACATCAAGGTAAGTAGTTCGAAACTACCAGAGGTTCCATGGGAGAAAGATGAGGCGTTCTGCTCCTGTAAAGATTTATAGCCTCGGAAACCGTGTGCAGGGTCGCTATGAGTTGGAACCGACTCCATTGTACTTAAGAACAACAACATTACATGTATGCTAGGTATTGTGTTGGGCCTGCTAATAGAGAAGACATAGATTAAGACCACCTTGGGGGTTATTTTCTTCTTCTTCTTGGGGGTTATTTTCTGTGTTTGAGCTTGGTAGAGAAACACGTAATATTTTAAAGTAGCCAATACAATAAATATTTTTCAAAACTCTAGAAAGAAATAGTGATAAACTAGTTGCTTGGTAGTGGTGGTGTGCTGTGAAGTCAGTTCCAACTTATAGTGACCTTGCTATAGGGTTTCTGGGACTGTAAATCTTTATGGGAGCAGAAAGCCTCAACTTTTTCCTGTAGAATGGCTGGTAGTTTCAAACTGCCGACCTTGAGGTTAGCAGCCCGACTTGTAACCACTACACTACCAGAGCTCCTTAAACTAGTTGCTCATCAAAATGAAAATAAAAAAGCATCGGGAAAACCTTAAAAAACAGAAAGCGTCTAATGCCAGAGGATAACTAAAGGTATCAATTCACAAAATTAATGTTACTGGTTTAAATTATCCTATTACAAGCAAAGATTCTTAGAATTACTAAAAACAAAAAACAAACAAAAAGATGAACAAAGCAACAAAACTCTCAAATCCAACTATTTTCATTAATTCGCACCCTTCACTTTCCAATTCCTGCCCCCCCTCCCCACAGAAGCCATCATCTCACATACTATATAACTGCCTGCTAGAATGTAAGCCCCCATTTTAAAGAAAAGCTTTTCTCCCCTACTAAGGAGCTCTGGTAGCGTAGTGGTTACGAATCGGCCTGCGAATCTTAAGGTCAGCGGTTCGAAACTACCAGCCGCTCTGCGGGAGAAAGATGAGGCTTTCTACTCCCGTAAAGATTTACAACCTCGGAAACCCTGTACAGGGTCGCTATGGGTCGGAACTGACTCGACGGCACTTAACAACAACAATATACCTCAAGTGCCTGAAATAGTGTAAGGACCAAACTGATTTTACCTGATTTTGCCTACCTAGAAACTGCTTGACTAAACTCTGGTCAGGCTCAGGAAAGCATTTTAAATAGACAAGGCCTCAGTTATTAGTTCCCTCCAGAGGCAAGGTCAATCTCCATTCTGTACATTAGCCTGAACACGTACTCTAGCTCCAAGAATATGATATATGTATAAATAGCCAGGCAGCTCAAGGCCAGAGGCCAGATGTTTTCCTTTACCCTAGCCTAAGAACAAAGACCACCAGTCCTGACCAATTAAACTGTAACATCTCATAGTTTGCCAATTGTTAACCAATCCAAAGATTGTAAAGCTGAGAAACCTGAGCTGTTTGAAAATTCTATAAAAATCCTGCAGACAATGAATTCCGGGCTCTTTCCGTATTCCGAAATGTCGGATAAGGTTAGAGACCTGGCTCGAGGTTGATTAAACAACCCTTATGTATTTGCATCGGTACACGGCTCCTGGGTGGTCTTTGGGGACCCTGAATTCTGGGCATAACAATAGTATCTGTCTCCTACTTGTTATTAAGTGCTGTTGAATTGGTTCTGACTCTTAGCGACCCTGCATATAGAGTATTTGAGGAGCGACTGGTAAATTTGAACTGCTGACCTTGCAGTTCAAGCCGACCTGTGGTCCAGTGCTTAACAGACAGCACCACATCAGGATCCCAGTCTCCTAGTAAGTACTCAGGAAAGATACATTGCTCATTCTGTCTCAGAATTGTTAGGGCTTTTGAATTCTTCAAAGTTTTATGACCATGGACAAATTGTTGTTTCTAAAAAATGGTATAATAGTATCTTGTGGGATTAAATTTTATGTATGTTCCTTCCAAGTTCAGAACAATTCTGATGTATAGAATCGACTCAGTAGCAACTTTAGAATGTTAAACCATTTATTGGGGATTTTTTTCTGGATGTTGCATTAGATTATGTTCAGGTGTATGTAATTTCTTTGAGCCTTATGAAAGTTGCTCTTTTTACTTTTTTTTTCCTAAAAGTGTTTTCCTCTTCTCCTATGGTCTTCCTTATTTTTATTGTTACTATAAGCCCCATTTTGGATTTAAAAAAACTCTTTATACAAAGTAAACCTCATCACAATCAAGGTTTGTCATTATTTTGTGTTTGAATGGTCCTTTCCTGTGTTTTCGTGAAACTGAATTTCCTTCTCAGATTCAATTCTCACAGGCATTTTTATGTGCAGCCAGTGTTATTCCTAATCCTTTATTGTTAAGTTTCCTGGAGTCTGTATAAGGTTTCTAGCTCATGGGTTGAACTGCTGACCTTGTGGTTAACACTCTAGTGCTGATTCTATGGTGCCACACCAGGAGTCCTTAGGAGTCTATTATCCTTCCTCTAACAGATAGTATCATGTTAGAGAAGGATATCATGTTTGGTAAAGTGGACGGTCAGAGAAAAAAAGACCCCAAATCAGATGGATTGGCACAGTAGTGGCAGTGATGGGTTTAGGTGGTAGCAAAAATTAGGAGTTTGGCTCAGGACTGGGCAGTGTTTAATTCTGTTGTACATAGGATTTCTATGAGTCAGTACTGACTCAAAGGCACCTGACAACAGTAACAACAGCAGATGATGTTGTGACAACAGAGGTGGTGGCATGGAGGGACAGACCAGCTTTGGCCTCTAGGCCTGTGGACTGGCTTGCAGAATGTACCCTTTGATTATTAACAGACTGGCTAAAAGAATTTTGTAATACAGGATCAAGCAGGGCAGAGGCCAAGAAACTATAAGGCTGAGAGGCTGAAAACAAGAGAGAAGTGTGCTTGCAGTATGACAGGCAAATGGTGTCCCTGACCGGATAACTGTGTGGAAATGGTTTTGATCCTGGCTTATTGTTGTTAGGTGTCATCGAGTCAGTACTGATTCATAGCTACCCTATGCACAACAGAATGAAACACTGCAGAATCCTGTGCCAACCTCACAATTGTTGCCACGCTTGAACCCACTGATGCTGCCACCTTGTCAATTCTTCTTGCTGGGGATCTTCCTCTTTTCTTCTGACCCCCTACCTTACCAAACATGATATCCTCCTCCAGTGACTGATCTCTTGTGACAATATGTCTGAAGTATGAGAGAGGAAGTTTGGCCATCCTGGCTTCCAAGGAGC